CTCCCCCCAACCATCTCTCTGGCTAGGGACTGACAGGCACACACTGGTCTGGAAGTCATGGCCTGTGCTCTAGTCCAGATGGTTCTGCTGGGTGGCCTTGGGAAAATCTCTGTCAAAACTGCCCTTCCACGATCTATAGGATGTTGCTGTTGACCTGCCTGCCCTGCCAAGTTTGAAAGTGAAATGCTTTATAAATGGCACATCTATAGTGTCGGTTATCTTAAGCTTACTCCTGATCACTCATCAATAAGTGGCATGACCATCAATCATTGGGAAAATGATCCCACCACTCAGTTAACTACTCAGGTCATCCACCTGGAAGGCCAACCACTTGACCACGCTCAGGTTCCACCTGGCTACAGGCTGGAGTTTTTCTAGCAAACAGCTGAGAGAGGAAGCCAGCACAAGGAATAATGATGCCTAGGAGTTTCCTTAACTAGCTGAGCCCTGTACCCACAGGAGAGTGTATTGACTCTGGCTGCTGACAGGTGACTGGCTGAGGCAGGACAAGAGGTGGCTCCAAGACCGCAAACAAAACTGTGCAGGAACGAGTAGGACTGCCTTGTTTTCCCTCTGCTGCTATTACGGGCTTTCTCCTTGTGTTTCCCTTGTTAAAGTCTAAGTTTAACTCCTGACCCCCAGGACTAATGGCAGACCCCACAAGCCAACTTAATGGTCTTTGACCCCTCTCTCCAAATACAGATTCTGCCTTGTTCACTCTACCTCCAAAATAACTGAGACCACCCCTTTCTCTCACCTTTGTGGGGCTCTGTCATAGTTTAATATACCCTTGTCTTTACCTGGACTCTAGTGCCCATCAACCCATGCATACAGGTTACCACATGACTTTCCTTAAAAACAAAACAAAACAAAACCAAAAACCTGATCCTGTTACATCCCTGACTACTGTAACTTCTGGAAACCCATTCTTCCCTCTCAAGGCCTTTATGCTCCAACTCTTGCATCTCCTCTCCTGCTCATCTCCTGTCTCAGCCTATTATCCAGCCATAGTAATCTTCTTACCAGTTCTGAACTAACTCTCAAGTCTCCAGGGCTTGTCTCTGCTGTTCCCTCTATGCAAAATGAACTATCTTTCTTCACCAGTTCAAGGTTCAACTTGAATGCTACTTCTGCAAAACCTTCCCCATCCTTTTCCAGAGGTTGTTTCTCCCATAACCTTTATAACACTTTGGTCACTATTTCTATAATGGTCTCATTAGACTGTAAGGTTTTGTTTTGTGTTTTCTGGTACTGGGGATTGAACTCAGGGCCTTGTGCCTGCTAGTCTCCAGCCCTTTTGTTTTTAGTTTGCTTTTCCAATAGGGTCTTGCTGAGTTTTGCTTGGGCCAGCCTCAGATGGAGCTCCTCCTACCTCTGCCTCTCGAGTAGCTAAGCTCACACCATGATTCTAGCTTGGTATGTCCCACCATGCCAAGCGTGTTTCTGAAATAGGGTTGCATTTTGTCTGGGCCAGCTGTGAACCACCATCTATGATCTTCCTATCACTACTTCCCAAGTAAGTGGAATTACAGACATGCCCACCATACCCAAACCTTATTAATTTAATTTTAAGGGACTCATTATTTACCTCTCCAATATCTCAATAGATGCTTGGCACAGAAGAGGTGCTCACATTTGCTTAATCAGTGAGTCATGAGTACTCATTAAAGATATCATAAGTGAACTCGGGAATGGTCCCTTTCTTCTGCCTTGGTGTAGCCGGCACTTTTAGAATCAGAATGCATAGGTGCTGTCATCTTAGTCATGGCCATGGACAAGTCATTTCACTTCTCTCAACTTTGGACACTTATCACATATACAAAAGATGAGTGGAGAAAGTGCGTTAGTACAGCATTTCACACAAAGCTCAATTAACTTTTTTTTTTTTTTTGGTGGTACTGGGGTTTTAACTCAGGACTTTGCTAGGTAAGCACTCTATAACTTGAGCCACACCTCACTCTTTTTGCTTTATTTTTCAAATACAGTCTTGCACTTTTGCCTGGGCTGGCCTGGGACTGCAATTCTACCACCTCTTCATCTTGAGTAGCTGGGATTATAGGCATTCACCACCATGCCCAGTCTCAATGAATGTTTAACTCAGGTTTCTTCCATCAAGCCTATAGGACTAATTTTCCTGGTCACCTTTTTCCTGCTCTTTGTTTTTGGCGGTACTGGGGTTTGAACTCAGGGCTCTACCAGTTGACCCATGCTCCCAATTCCTTCTCCTACCCTTTTAAGTCAGGTTTCTGGGTCCAAATGACTTCTGCCAAGGGCCTCTTGAATCATTCAGGAGGTAGTGTGATGCAGAAACAATCTAAGTTTCAACTCTGACACTGTCATTTTGGAGATGAATTTGGATCTGCTTTCTACCTAAAACTCTTATGTAGGGTTTCTCTGAGGATTAAATATCTAAGTAAATTGGATGACACTCAAAACTCAGTAATTATGACTTGTCTGGTGAACAAAAAGTACTAGGAATGCCTCTGAAAACCATGTAAGTGATCATGCTGCCCCCCAGTGGACAAGGGAACACACAGCACAAAGCCACTCCAAAAGACAGTCACTCTCTCCTGTGAGCAAGTGCTAGGGAGCACACTTTACATGGAAATATTCAGGGCACATCTAGACCAGAATTACTTTGAGATTAACATACTTGTTTGATGCAGATCAGCTCTGACTCAATAGTTTTGGATTGGGGGCAAAATCTGTAATAGGCCTCCAACGTGGTACTGATGATAATCCCTCATGGGTCATTCTGAGTAAAGGTCTGTAACATAGCTGTGACATAACAGGAACTATTTATTAAGTGTTTGCCACATGCTAGTTAGCAAGAGCACTGGCTGGCCTATTTTAATGTACAAAGTCCTGCAGCTTGTGGCAGGTTAGGTGCTATTTATCTCCATTTTCCAGATGATAAAATGCCAGCACAGAAAGTAGACTGCTTCATCACACAGCCAGTGAGGAGGAGTAAGCCTTGGGTTCTAGTTTAGGTAGCCTGACTCAGAGTCTACTAGGAAGACTCCAGTGTGCTGTATGACCTAAGGGGCTGGGGAGAGGCTGCAGCAGGAAACCAGCAAGAGTACTGAAGTGAGAGAGAGGTTAGGGTAGGAAGGAAAAGGAGGACATGATATAGAGAGCAAACAGGACTTGGTGGCAGACTGGATATGGGGATAAGAAAGGGAATAGTCTCTCAAAGGGGGGAGGGGATGTTTTCTAGGTGTCTGGTTTGAACAACTGGAGACTTGGTAAGTACCCCTAATTGACCTATGAAACACAAGAGCAAGAACAAGTTTCAGGAAGAAGGTGAGGTCAGTTTAAGAAATGGTCAATATGAAGTGGCTCTTGGTCACCTGGGAGAGACATGAGGAGGTAGGCGGACCTACATGTCTAGAGCTCGGGAAATGATCTGGGCTGTGGATAAAGCTTGGGTGTCGGTATCAGTGAAGCTACCCATGAGTGACTGAGGTCACACAGGCAAACTGCCCTATTCTTGGCCAATGGAGGTGATGGGACTGGATTATCAGTTCCCTGGATTACAGTGGAGACTGACTCTGTCCATTCCACTGGCATCAGATCTGGGGGAGCAGGCAGAACATAAGTGACTGATGGCCTACAGGGCAAGAGGTTTTTGGAGTTCTGTGATAACTAAGTCTAATTTAACTGCCCTTCTGCCCATTGATCAGCAAAAACAAATCCATAGAATAAAGGTTGGGAGATATTTATTTTCTTTAAACAAGATCATAAATAACAAAGAAACAAAGTAGGTCCCAGACTCTGGACCATGCAGCAGGACAGGGATAGGAAGTTTGGGGTGAAAGGTGGAAGGGGCTACACATCACCTAAGACAGTCACAGAAAGATGGGCTTCAGGAGACTCCCCTCCCTGCCCTTGGAATGGTGTGCCTGGGCAGCAGGAGGAGCCGCAGTGCTGTGATGAGGCAGCTGGACGAAGGCAAAGACTGGGGCAACTTGGTTGTAATGTTTTATTAGAGTGACATGAAATCACAAACGGCAACGAGGCAAGCGGTCTGCCCATTGATCAGCAAAAACAAATCCATAGAATAAAGGTTGGAGATATTTATTTTCTTTAAACAAGATCATAAATAACAAAGAAAACAAGTAGGTCCCAGATTCTGGACCATGCAGCAGACAGATAGGAAGTTTTGGGTGAAAAGGTGGAAGGGCTATACCATACCTAAGAACAGTCACAGAAAGATGGGGCTTCAGGAGACTCCCCTCCCTGCCCTTGGGAAATGGTTGTGCCTGTGGCAGCAGGAGAGGCCGCAGTTGCTGATGGCAGCTGGACGAAGGCAAAGACGGGCAACTTGGTTGTAATGTTTTTATGTAGAGTGACATGAAATCAAAACGGCAACGAGAAGCTGTGGGTCTAGAAGAGGCAAGCGGTACTCTGTGCACCTCAGGAACAAACTATGAAAATGGTCAAATTTATTATTAAAAACTATTCCAGAGGCGTTAGCCTGTGGCTTGTGCATGGCTGTATTAACTGGGTGCTCTTGACAACAAGGGCTCAAGGCCCCTGGAGCAGCCTGGCTCAGCCCAGGACAGGTGCCCAGACATGTGAGAACAGCGGCTCACCAATGGAGGCCAGGGTTTGGCTGTCTAGACCTAGTTTTCAGGCTGGTCTCTTGTGGTGCTTGGCCTCTCTGGGTCTTCCGATCTGGAGAATAGACTGGATAAAAAGGTACCTGAAGGTGTTTATTTGAATGGGAAAAATAAGAGACACTGTGTACACTGTCCATCCCCTGAGGAGGGCAAGACTGTGCCAAGAGCATTCAGGAATGGAGGTCCTGAGCCTGGAAAGACATTTGTAACCAGTGCACTGCCTGACAGCAGGATCAGAGCCCAGAGTGGTAGTCTGAGCTTTACCTAGCAAGGCAGGGAGACAGGACAGGGACTACCCCTTTACGGTTAGGGTAAGAGCTGGAGACCTGAAGTAGGCGGATAATGTTGGACAAGCCTGGAAACAATGCTTTTGGCAGGTTACACAAAAGGTTTGTGCATTCTGGGGACGCCATCTACAAGGAGCCGGTGGGGCGAAGTTGAGGAGAGACACGCATCACAGTGGCCTCTGTGCGACGTATTTACAACAGAGCTCAATGTATAGGAGGGGGAAGACGGCAGGTCACTAACAGCCAGGAAACACACTGTCAAGTAGAAAAGAGAAGGGAAACAAATTTAAGCTCCCCTCCTCGTCAACTTTCTGTCTCTTCTAGGAAGTGCTTCCTAATGACACCAAGCCCTGCTGGTCTGTCCCATCTCTTCACAAGCTCTACCCAGATCCAGACAGGGGTCTGTCTCAGTGTATAGCTCAATTTGACCAAAGCTCCAATGTTCAGGGACCCCAATCAAACACTGTTTATTAAGTGAAATTAAGTCTTCATGGGATCCATCAAGGGTCATTTGCTAGAGGATGGTACAGCATAAGAGTGTCCACTTTGTGGTTCACTGTACCAGGCTCCTGTCATCATTTCTTGTGTCCATTCTGATCTTCAGGCCTAGTGTTCAGAGTTGTCTAAGCAGAAAACATTTCTTTTCAAAATCTAATGAGGGTGGTGAGCAAGTTCTCTTGAATCCTCACCAAAATCAGAAAAAGCTTCCAATGCCAAGAGTGACACCTCATTTGATTTACAGGCTCTCTGTAAGAGCAGAGCCTTCTGCAACACAGACTAGGAGCTCAGGAGGCGCCAGGACTGCTTTTGGGTCTACATGCCTCTCCTTTCTCCTCAACAAAGAGCCCAACTACTCAGATGTATCCCTAATCAGATAAGAGCTTCCTAGGATGAGAGGCTGGTCTACTTTCTTGCTAAGACCAGTGTTTTCTCACTTTTGCTTCCTTGAGACACTGGAACGTTTTTGGTTGATAGAACTATGTTAGAGGTTCTACTGGCATTTTGTAGGTAGATGCCAGGGATATGGTTAAACATCCTACAGTGCACAGGACAGATGGCCTCCCCCCAAAACAAAGAATTACCCACCTAAATGTCAACAGTGCTGAGATGAGACACTGCTCTCATTTCCACCAAACTCCATGTCTTGCCAGCTCTGCTCAGAAGGAGCAAGACCTCTCTGGATAAGGAATGATTGATATCCAGCCAGCCACCTCAGAGAAGGAACATCTCAAGAAGAAACGTACATTGCAAGTGGGGTGGAAGACAAGGCATGACTGCACCGCAGCCAATGCCCCACTGGACCAGAGACACACAATCGGGTGACTTTGTAGAAAACACACCAGCTCTGTGGTGAGAGGAGGAATACAGGCTTTGTGATCCGACTAGGCAGGCTCAGCAGAAACAGTCACAGCTTGCAATACCTGAGCTTAGGATAGACCAGCACTTCTGGGCTCTTTACCCTTGTACATCCTTACACTAATCCACCAATGGGCTCAGCAAACCTGTGCCGGATCAGGAAAGTGGCACAGCTTCAGCTACCTGAAAGGAAGAATATTCCAGCCTTATGAATTGATGGGCTTAGCTTTGGAAGTCCTGTGCTTCAGTTGAAGATTAGGCTCCTGTGTCCTCTTAAATCCCTCAGTGTAGGTAGCTTGAAATCAAAAGGAATGCTAGAAGACTCCTCCCTTCCATCCTAGTGATACTCCAGAGAGTCAAGAGGAATGAGGCTTATTTACCCGTTACAAATGGACTGGTGGAGTGGTTTAAGCAATAACACACTGCCTAGCAAGCATGAGGCCCTGAGTTTAAACTCCAATGCACCAAAAAAAAAAAAAAAGAAGTTACAGATACCCTTTCCTTAGGAGTCCATATTAATTTCTAACTATGAATTTAGGTACAGCTTCTACCCTCAATCACTTCTTCCATCTGCTTTAGAGTAATGAAGAAGCAGAGCTTAAGATCTTAATTTAGGGTCCTGGGATGAAATAGCAGGGTGCGCAGAGCTCAACCAGACAACAAAACTAAACCATAGGCAGTTGCCAGGAAAGAGCTTGGGAAGCTGGTGGAATTGCATGGCTCTAGCAGCTGCTGCAGTAACTGGGCTGACCTGGGCTTTGCCAGCTACGGTACTCACACAGTTGCTGTTTTACAGTCATTAAGCACCACACTCACCTTGTCAGGGCGTCCTCATGCACTGCATGGCCACACTGAGGTAAAACCTGCATCTGGAATTTCCTGGAGAGGAGACAAAGCCAGAAAACTCAGAGACTAAAGAGTCCTCTCCATACCATCTCTGCAGTCTCACAGGTCACTTTGGGAGCCCAAGACTTCCCCCGCAAAACTCTGGTTCTAATTACCAAAATTTTGAGGAGGATGTTAACTTGTAACTTTCATTTCATAAACAGGCTGGAATTACTGTTTGCTTTGTATCCCTAACAGACAAATTCAGCTGATTTGAACTTAGTGCTGGGAAAGCTGTGGCTTAGAATCTATGCAGACTTAGCCTTTTCCCTTTATTCTGTTATAACTCCCAACCTAGTCAATTACTCTCTATACCTATTGGTAACATTATTCAACAGCAAGGTGGTCTTGGCAGAGACCACACTGAAGAATTAGGAGGGCATCTAATAAGTATATTAGCTATAATATGCTTGCTGGACACAATGAAAGGCATTGTTTGTCAGATTCTTACTTAACCCAAACCTTCTCATTTGAATCTCATATACTTGTACTGAGATATATCACTATCTACACTTTATAGATGGAAAACCCAGGATTAAAGAAGTTGGCAATTCATTTAAGCCACACAATCAGTAATGGTGATTCAACCCCAGGACTGTGATTCCTAGGCTGGTTGGTGATCACACACCGATTTAAAATGCTATTCCAATCAAGGTCAATTGCTTTCAGAGTCTCAGGGACCTTGTCAGTTTTCTATCTCCCCAGCAGCAAGCATAGGTCTTGCTCAGAAAAGGTGGCTTAGGAAAGTTTTGCTTGAATTGAATTTTAGCACATCATATCTATGCCCAGAGTGACCACCAACAGTGTTATTAAGGTCACAGCCCCAGCTCATGGTCCTGCCCCAGGTCTCAGAAAGCAAAAGACACATGAGTCTGGGAACAGAATTTTGTAAGCCATTCAACAGTCTTTGAAGAACTATTATGAGGGAACAGAGTTATTTTCTGTGTGGATGACTTGAGGAAAGCTAAAGGAACAGTTTGAGAGACATCCAAGCAGAGTTTGATGGGCCAGGACTAGAGCTCAAGAAACAGGGTAAGTAGGACATATAGCTTTGGGAGTATCAGGGTTTAAATGGAAGCCATAAATATCCAGGAAACTAAGTTAGAAAGAAAGAAGGTCAAGAAAATTGCTTAAGCCCTGAAACCTTCATCTCAGATTGGCACAGTTCTTCCATAACCCCGCAAAGCTGTGACGCCTGCTGACTTCACCTTCACCAAGTCTTTCACTCAGACTAAAGCAAGAAACTCTAGAAAGTTGGTCCCACTGTCATATGGCCCACATGTGCATAGTACCTAATGTGTCTCTTTCCTACTCATTATACCTCATAATCCCTTTAAGGCTAGCATTGATTTTTCTCATTTTATACAACAAGACTCAAACTGAGGGGGGTCAAGTAACTTGCCCAGGGTAAAAAAATTAGTAGAAAAACAATATTCAAAACCCATTTCTTCCAACTTTGGAGCCCTTGCTTTTACCACCTCACTATGCTATCTTCTAAACAGATTTTTTACCCCAGTATCTGGATTATTTTGGATATTTCCCTTTCCTAAAAAAATTCTAACAGTGTGAACATCTCTGTTCACATTAAATACCTACATAGTAGTTTATGGTTTTAAAACACACTGACTTATTTTAACCCTTAAAATTGAGACATAGGCAGTTATAGTTCTCATTTTTAGTTGAAGAAAAAAAGACAATCACTGTTCAGAAAGGGAAATATTGCCTATAATCATGGTGAGTCAGGAGAAGAGGAGGATGTCAAACATAGGTTTGACTCTAAAGTTCATGCTCTCTCAATTATACCTAACCATTTACATTACTGCCTGTTTCTTTGCCCCAGAAAAGGGTCCAAGGCATATATCCAGAGGAGTGTAAATCGATATATTAGGAGAGATAATTGCATGTCTATGTTTATTGTAGTTCTGTTCACAATAACTAAACCATGGAATCAGCTGAGGAGTCCAACAATTATACATAATACAATGCTACTCAGCCATAAAGAAAAATGAAATTATGTCATTTGCTGGGAAATGGACAGAACTGGAGAACATGATGTTGAATGAGATAAGCCAAGCTCAAAAAACCAAGTATCACATGATTTCACTCATTTGTGAATTCTGGACCTAAAATGATAATGGGACATGAATGCAAAAGGTGGATGGTCTGGGAAGCATATGGGAGCAGGAGAGGGAAGGAAACGATACTGAGGGGTGAAGAGGATCAAATATGCTACATATGTATATATGAAGACAGCATAATGAAATCCACTACACACTTTGAAAAAGGAAGAAAGTAGAGAATGGGAATACAATGAGTGGGGTAAATGTGTTCAAAAAGTACATTGTATGCATGTATGGAATCACTACAATGAAATCCTCTTGTATTATTAATATATGCTAATTCAAAAATATAATAAAACTATTTTAAAAATAAAATAACAAAAGAAAGAAAGAAAGAAAAGGGTACAATTTCTGGATAACTTACCCTGCATCTGGCCAATCGTCAGATCTTTATCCAACCTATCAACACCTAGAGCAAAAGAAGAGAATCTGTAAGTAGCTCACTAGGAAATGCCCTGTGAAATAGATTTTACTATTCAAACACTAAATAAAACTGTTACAAAGCTGTAAACATGGCGACATTCTCAATTCATGTTAACGCCAATCCGAACTCCCAGAGTTTGCAGTCATGTGCTCATTTAAAGATGAGGTTTTACTGTTTTGAGTCTCAGAACATTCAGAATATTCTTATCCTACTGGATATAGTGTTAGGAGGAAGATTTGGGCCATCCCATTTGGATGCTTATGCTTAGTTAGGTTAGGGATTGGATATGGAGAGGTAAAGGGTACAGATGAGTGAGGATATTGCTTTACTTTGGAAGTTACTACCCAGTTGGCTAGCAGTTTTAATGAGGTGACCTCCAGAAGATAATATACTCACACTAGATGGATTGAACTATGTTCCCCAAAATTCATATTGAAGTCCGAACCCCAAATGGGACTGTATTTAAAGACAGGGCCTATAAGGAGGTAACTATGGCTAAATGATGTAATAGGATTAGTGTCCTTATGAGAGACACCAGAGAGCTGGGTCTTGCTTCCTCTTGGCCATGTGAGAGTACAGACAGAAGGCAGCTATCTACAAACCAGGAAGAGATCTCTTCCCCAAATTCAATCTTACTGGTAGTCTGATCTTAGACTTTCAGCCTCCAGAACTGAGAAAATGTGCATCTGTTGTTCAAACCATCCAATCCATGGTATTTTGTTAAGGCAGCCAAGTTGGCTAATACACACACATACACTTACCAGCCAAGAGCAGCAATTTAGGAATAGGACAACTAAGAAAGAGATTGGATAAGCCTCGGAACCAGCCATCCCAGTATTTTTCTGTTTTTGCCAGTTCAATTCTCCAGGTATATGGATGGTCTTTCTTGGTCTGCAGGAATAAGAGTAAGTGCTGAGTCTCCAAGGGTAATCCCTGGAGGAACAAGATAAAAACTAGGTTCCTGGAGAAAGGAAAGGAAAAGAAACTAGCACTTATTAAGGACCTACTATATCTAGGACATTTTAATATACATTTAATCCTATGAACAGTCTTGCGTAGATTGTATTTCCATTTTTAGACAATTACAAGTTTTCTTTTCATACTTCTTATTAGGTTTCTTTCCCTCCTTCCTTTTCTTTCTTTCTTTTTTTTTTTTTTTAAAGAAAAAAAAGATTTAGGGTCTCACTGAGTTGAGGTCCAGGCTGGGCAAACAACTAGACTCAAGCAATTCCTCTTGCCTCAACCACCCAAGTAGCAGGGACTACAAGTGTGTACCACACCACCCAGATACTTCTGTTATGTTTAGTGAACTTAGGAAACTTTATTAGGATCAGGAAAGTAGCTGGGCACTGGTGGCTCACGCCTGTAACCCTAGCTGCTCAGGAGGCAACGATCAGGAGAATTGTGGTTCCAACACCCAGAGAAATAATATGCAAAACTGTATCTCAAAAATACCCAACACAAAAAAGGGCTGGCAGAGTGGGTCATGTGGTAGAGCACCTGCCTAGCAGGCATGAGGCTCTGCGTTCAAACTCTAGTACCACCAAAAAAGAAAGAAACAAACAAACATAAAAAATTGCAGGGGCTAAGATCGACCTTTTCTTATACCCAGTTGGAAAAAAGGGAAAGATCACGTTATGGTATACAAAATGCTTACGGTATAATATTAAGTGAAAGAAGCAGAATACAATGTATCATCTAAATCAGAATTGCTACTGGACAAATGTGGTATACATATGGGAAAAATATGGATGGAAAAGTTGAAAATAGCTTTATTTGTGGGTAGAGTACTTTTTTCTCACATTTTGATTCATGATAATGATATAATGCCCCTACAATAGTAATTCTAAGAAAGAGGTATTATATAAATATGAAAAAGTATCAATGAAAAAAATGTCATGTTATATCTTGACAGTTGGAAAGAGGATGGGCACACAATATGCAAATATTAAGTGAACAATAGATGATCCTCTATACTTTTCTGCATTGTTGAAATAGGTAAAATATTACAATGGAAATAAATCATTGGTGTACTACATCAACCACATCATAAAAATCTACAAGTGAACATGGGACAGTGATGTATTGTGTTAAAAATCTGTGATTAAGTTGTCCCCACTACCCAAAATAATCTATAGATTCCATGCCAATCAAAATTCCAACGACATTTTAAAAAGATGTCTTTAAGATCTTAAAATCATATGCTATCTCTTTTTAAAAAATCATATGTAATCTCATGAGACCCTGAATAACCAAGTATTTTCAAGAAAAGGAACAAAATTAGAGGACTCATACTCTCTGATTTCAAAACCACTACAAAGCTGCAGTAATTAAGTTTAGTACTGGCATAAAAACAAACAGACCAAGGGAATAGGATAGAGAGCCCAGAAATAAACACTCAGATATATGGTCAAATGATCTTAGACAAGAGTGTCAAAAAGACCACCCAAATGGGAAAGGACAGCCTCTTCAACAAATAGTGTTGAGATAAATAAACAAATACATATCCATATGCAAAAGAATGTAGATAAACAGATGAATGGTAAGTATATTAAAGAATCTGACATCAATAGTCATTAGGGAAATTTAGATCAAAACCACAATCAGAGCTGGATGTGGAGGCACACTCCCATCAGTACCTGGGAAACTGAGGCAGAAGGATCTTCAGTTCGAGGACAGCCTGGACTATACAGCAATACCCTGTCTCAAAACAAAACAAAAACAAAAACCACCCACTAGGATGGCTTAGCATCAGAGAGTTACAAAACAGTGTTGTTAATTACAGAAGCTTCATATACTACAGATGGGAATGTAAAGTGTTGCAACTCTTCGGAAAATAGTTCTTCAAAAGTTACACATAACTCCACTCTTAGGTATATACCCAAGAAAAAGAAAAGCCTGTATGTCCCCATAAAAAGTTGCAAACAAATGTTTGTACAGTGTTACTTACAATGGAAAAGAAGTGGAAAAACCCCAAATATTCATTAACTGATAAATGGACAAAAAATACAGCATATCCATATAAAACGGCTAAAGACGTAAAAAGAAACAAAATACTAATAAATGCTACAACATGCTTGAAAACTTTGCACTTAGGTAAAAGAGGCCAGTCATCAAAGACCACACATTATGTAATTCCATTTATATTTAATGTCCAGATTGAGCAAATCTTTATAAAGACAGAAAATAGATTAGTGAGTGCCTGGGGCTAGGAGAGAAGCGGCTGCTAACAGACGCTCATTACTTAATACACTTCAGTTTGCCCTGTGAGCACAACTGCTGGGGCTTATAAAACCATGTGATGGTATTTATTTAAAAAGTGCAAAGAAAAAATGAGTTGGAATTAAAAATTGAGGCTCTGGGTATGTTTTAGTTCTAACTCTTATGTGTGACCATGGGAAGTATCTGTATCTGAGGGATAAAAGGGTGTTTATACCAATTTTTTGCTTGCTTTTTAAAATAAAGTGCCTGTATTGTATTGTCCATATTTTAGAGTACAATCTCATTCAGTACATTTAGTTTTATAAGTCATGAAGCCAAATCTCTGATGGGCTATATCAGAGGCACAAAGTCTAGAATGTGTATATTCACAATGGTGTACATTTTGTGCCTTGAATTACTTTGGAAGGTGTATTGGGAAACCTGAACAGTTCCCACTATCTTCATAGGAATTTTATATGTATTTATGAAGATGATTCAGTATTGTAGTAAATCTTGGGCATGGACTAATTTTGTACCTCTTCATACTCGTATTCCGCACAATCTGTATATATCACATCAAATTTAGAGGTATGACCTTAAATTTAACTTTTAAAAACTGGTGATAATATCTACAATGCAGAGCTAAAATGAGAATTAGAGATGATAAATGTGAAGTGCTCATATAGTTCCTGGCACATAAAAGGTAAAAAGTAATTGTATCAGACTCTCAAATCTACTAAATACTTGCTTGGCCAACTTGGGCGAGTCTCTTTACTTCTGAGCCTCAGTTACTACACTGAAATATGGAAGAAAATCTCCCCTTATCTCACAAGACATTGGGAGGACCAACTAGATCACTCATTATTTATACCTTTAGAAACTATAAAGAGGCACAAAGCATTATTCTGATCATTAATCTTCATTAAATTTAAAATACTGTTTATGAAAAGTGTACTCTCTAAATGCAAAGAAGTATGTGCTTATCCCAAGTCTATTACCTGCCATTAGTAAGATGTTTATAAGCCATCCTGGAAAGTCTGCTGCTCAGAAACACTGAACATTTCAAAAAAAAAAAAAAAAAAAGCACTCCTTTCCACTACTATCTTCAAACCAGTTTTTCAGCCAGCACGCACTACTTACACAAACAGGACCTAAATGCTGAGGGAAATTCATACAGAAAATCAGTTTCTGCCCTTAAAATACATACTTTGTTTTGCTTAGGATAGAATTTTTGCATAAATGGAGGACAACATAAGTCTGTATTCCAGGAATGACTAGCAAAAGACATAGCATCTGTGAATGTGGTTTATGAAAATCACTTCTGTGACTTCGTAGACACAACTTAAAGTGCTAGGCTGTGTTGTATCAACTTTTAGAGCTCCACAGATTGATATAAACTGAGATCAGAAAGATTCCTCAAGGAGATAAGCCTTGAAAGATGGTTAAGATCTGGATGGGCTTAGAGTAGATAGGTAGGAAATGGGATTTTTCTCATGAGAAAAACTACAGGAACAGAAATACAGAGGTGAGAAAGCAGTCTGAGGATAGGGTATATGCTATAAGCTTTATGTTCCAACTGGTCAGCACATTAGTGCTTTATATCTTAGAGTTAACATAAGTATCTTTTACAACAGTGTTTCTGCTCCCTAAAATATATAATGGTGGACAAAAAGAACAATGTCATCTTCCCTTCCCCATCCAACCACACTTGGAACCACCCCTTACCCTCTTTCCAAGAATGCAGGTTTTCACCTACCTCCATGTCATCTTCCTTTTTTCTCTTGTTTACCGACTCACTTCCTTCTTCATCTTCTTCTTCTTCCTCTATGATTCCTTCCACTATAGATTTTGAGCTTTCTGGACTTGTAATTCCTTCACACCTCGATTTAAAAAAATAAAAACTGCTATCACATACCTCTTTTCTTTCACAAATTATCTCACAGACACCCATACTTATGGTCTTTTATAATCAAATGTTAGCTACAACTGAACATTAGTGCTCTTGGGAGAGGAAAAATGTGAAAATACACTTTTCCAGCGTGGTGGAAGGTGGCCAATGTGTGACTATACCCAAGAGCTGGTTTCCAATTCTTATACCAATACTGACCCAGAGAAAGGAGAAACCATTTTCCTGAAGCCTGGTGACAAGAGTTTTGTTGGCACTCTCTTATATAATCCTCATAGCAATTTATGAAAGTAGCCCCAAAGAGTTAAGAATTGTCTAGGATTACCAACTAATCCCAAAGCATGGTGGTTTTCTCCTATAGTAAAACAAGACTCAAATAAAATGGTAAAAGGTCCCACTTTTTTTTTTTTTTTTTTTTTTTTTTTGTCTTTTTCTTTTTTTTTTTTTGGTGCTGGGATCGAACCCAGGGCCTCAGGCATGCTAGGCAAGCGCTGTACCACCGAGCTACATCCCAGCCCAAGGTCCCACTTTTTAATTAGCTGATAGAAACTGGCAATTACAATGACCAGGACCAGCTAATTAGACTACCTGATCCAACTAATTATTGCTATTTTTTTCTCTCAAAAAAATGGTACCATAATTCATTTTAGAGAGAACTTGATGGAAAATATACAATGACAAGTTCTAAAGGTAAAAACCCCAAAGGCCTGGATAACAGCTAATGCCAAGGTTTGCTCTGCATGACTGAGAGAAATTTGTTATTTTGCCCTTGAGAAGGAGCATGAAAAGAGAGAAAATAAGCAAGAAAAAGAGAGGGTAGGCCAAACTGAAGGGTCAGTGGTAGATTTTTTTTTGGCAGTACTGGGGTTTAAACATAGGGACTCACACTTGTTAGGTAGGTGCTCTAACATGAGCCCTTTTCTGCTTTAGTTAATTTTTAGGTAAGGTCTTACATTTTTTTTTTTGAGGGGGTGTTGGCCTCGGATCTCCATCTTCCCAATAATGCCTCCCACATTGCTGGGATTATATACGTGTACCACTATGACCAGCTTATTTATTAAGATGGGGATTTGCTGGCCTTGAATCATGATCCTCTCAATCTCCACCTCTGGAATAGCTGGGATTAAAGACACGTACCATTATGCCTGGCCCTGTAGGTTTTTTCTTTTTGGTGGTACTGGAGTTTGAACTGAACTGCTAGGCAGGTGCTCTACCACTTCAGCCACTCCGTCTTTTTTTGCATTAGGTATTTTCGAGACAGGGTCTTGAAAACAATCTCTGCCTCCTGAATAACTAGGATTATAGGTGTGAGCCACTGGCACCCAGCAGCCCTATAGATTTTTTAAAAATGTAACTTCTCCTTTCCTGGTTTTATTAAACCGTCAAGGTAAAATACTTGTTCACCAATGTTAAGTGGGGATTTCCTAAGAAACTTAGGGTACCAAGTTTCACATCTAGTATATGGTACAGATGTGATTTTAAAAAATATTATAACAAAAAAATATGCTTTGAATTTCCAAAGCCTGTAAGTAAGAAGGTTCAATGATTTCCTCACAACTAAATTTGGCATAGAAGGAGACTGTTACCAGAATGAATCCATATAATATTGAAATATTATATTGTACCCCATAAGTATGTGCAATTATTATATATAAACAAAAATATTTAAAAATTATGTAAGATAATCAGAACTATGAATACTGATCAAATTTTTATGATAATAAGGAATCATTAATTTTTTTGGTATGATAATATTGTGATTATGTTTAAAGAGATCTATCTTCTAAAGTATACTGACATCTTAAAGAGGAAAATATATTTGTTTGCAATCTGTTTCAAAATATTTTGTGCTTAGGGGAAGTAAACAGGCACACAGATGAAGCAAGACTGGCTATGAATAACTACTAAAAATGAGCAATGGGTACACCAGGGTTCATTGTATTATTTTAACATATGTAATTTTTCCATAATTCAAGGTCTTAAAAATAAGACTGTGTAGATAAAATACTTTGCACAGTACCTGGAAAATAGTAGGCACTCAATAACGCCATTACCATTTTCATCTAACTCTTGCACTCCTGTCTTGTATGCTGGCAACGTTTCTTAATTCACCTAAAGTTTATTTTGTGACTACACAGCAATACTCAGGACTTGTGTGTCTCCATCAAGAAAGATCAATGGGGCTAAATAATATTAGCTCACCCTTAGAATCTGGCTTTCACTCTGGCTCTGTCAGTTTTTGTATAATGAGTTCCTCACAACTGAGTTTGGCTTAGGAGACTGTTACCAGAATGAAACTATAGCTGCCAGCACTAAAGTGGACACTTAATTTTTAGTATTTACTCTAGAATGTTGCCTTTTGTAACACACAGATTTGTGCTAATGTAACCCAGAATTATAAAGCAGACACTAACTGACTTTGCAATTTCTTTAAAAATTTTTTAAAAAGATAGAAGGTATCTACCTAACCCCCAACTGAGCTTATCTGTAAAACTGACTAAAATAATAAAGGCATTTACCAGGATGGTTGAATAGATAAAAGACAAAAGATGCAATCTGCAATTCCTTCACCATGTTTCAGCCTCTAACCAGCATGAGAGACAAAAATAAGACCTACTGTTTGACTTGGCCAACCATTGAGACACGAGCAGACTCTAGATTTCGAATCTGGCCACTCTTCACACTAGAAGAAAAGTGAGAAAGGAGAGAAGTAGTTATTTAGCATTCATCTTATCATGTCACTAGAATCAAATGAATAATTCTAAAGATTCTATAGGACCAAACCAGAAATTGTGGTTACCCATGTTCTTACTATGGAGATTACCACTACTCTTCACCTGCTTAGTAAGGCCATAAACCAGTTAGTAAAAATAAGTAAAGACATTGTAACCATTTCAGTTCTACAAATATTTACCAAGATAGTACTATGTACTAGATCTATGCTTAAGAAGCACATAATTCTTAGGGAGAAAGAGAAACAGATAATGTTAATATAACAAGGCAAAATGCAAAAGAAGTAATTTATTTTGAAGGAGGAGGTTGAAGAAAGTTTCCCAAAGGTCCTGACTAGATAAGAAGTTAAGCAGATAATAAAAGGGTGGTCACAGTTCGGCTCAGTGGTGCATGACTGTAATCCTCAACTATGTGGGAGGCAGAAGTATGAGGACTGCAGTCTAAGGTCAGCCCCAGGCAAAAGCATGAGACCCTATCTGTAAAACAAAGTATTGCCAAAAAAAACCCAAAGGATGGTCAGTACACTGAAGACAGTGGGCATACTGTGAACAAAGGCACTGTGGTATGAAAGTCAGAAGGAGGATGATTTTAGAGATCTGAGTGCAAAGAGAAGCAGGAGCAAGCACAGGGGGAGTGTGCCAGAATAGGATTGTTAAGCAGACACTGGCTCTGAAAGAGCATCAGCTATGGTTTTAATGGGTCCCCAAAGTTCATGTAATGAGAACTTAATTCTCAGTGAAACAACAATGTTGAGAGGTGGGAAATTTAAGAGGTGATTAGGTCTTGAGGTTTAGGCTCTGCCTTCATGAATGGATTAATGTCCTTATCTCAAGAGTGGGTTTATTACAAAAGTGAGTTTGGCTCCCTCTTGTTCTCACTATGAGATACCTTCTGTCACATAACAATACATCTTGCCAGATGCAAACCCCATGATCTTGGACTTCCCAGTCTCATAAAACATGTCTCTATAAATAAATTTCTCTTATAAATTACCCATCTGTGGCATTCTGTTTTTGCAGCACAAAACGAAGACATGCCATTCTATAGAACTTAGACTATCTAAATGGACTTGTCTTCTAATACTCATCTACCTAAGTACATCTAAAGGCAAAGCCAAACCACTGCATGTCTCAGGGGAAACATGAAATGTCACCTGAAGCAAGCCACTATTAGAACATTTCCTTTAAAAATTTTTAGCATAAAAAAGTCATCCAAATTATCATTCAGTGATAAGAGTGCTTGCCTAGCCTGTTCAAGGCCCTGGATTTCATATCTAGTACTGAAAAAAAGGAAATCATGCAAAATTTTAAAGCCTTCTTCATAATGACATTGCTTCTTCCTTTAATGATAAACAGAGGCAATCAGAACTATTATTTCATCTTTTGACACCAACTGAATTTATGAATACACCAGTATTTCTAATCATACACTCTACTTTGATGCCTGCTTAATGTATAAAACACTTCTGTTTCTATTCAAGGCCAACTTTGGGGATGGTTCCAATCCCCTCTTGCTTATAAAGAGACATTTTTCTTCAGTTACTGTCTCTCTTCTGGGTCATCATTTTGTTCTCTAGTAGATGCCATAAATATACTGTACTACTTCATCCTGAAGGCCATTTCCCAGCTATGTTCTTAGGTCATAACTAGCTACCATCTCACTTCCCTGCTTTCCTACATAACTAAACTCTTCAAAAGAGTTGTCTTGTTTTCTCTGTATTTTTTTTAACCTCTCATCCTTTGCCCAACTCTTATCCTCAACTTATACAGTGTTTTTGTTTCCTACTTATATCCTGAGTTTTCTCTTGTCAAGGTCACCTGTATCACACCAAATCCAATGATTACTCCTTGGTCCCTATCTTACGTCATCTCCCAGCAGCATTTCACAGACGTTCTTTTCCTCTTCTACAAGTACTTGCTATACCATCTGGTATTCCTTCTACCTTACCAAGTGGGGCTTTTCAGTTTCTTTTGTTGGATCTTCTTTGCAAGCTTTAAAAATTATAAAGTAACCCATAGCTCAACTCTTAGATCTTTTTCCTATCAGTATCAAATACCTAGGTGACTGTATTTAGTCTTTTAGCTTTAAATTTTATTTATGTGATGACAATTCTCCAATTTATCTCTAGTTCAACCTCTTCTAACTAGTATATGCAACTGCATACTTAACATTTCCAGATAGAATTGTAATATGCATTTCAGTTTATCCAAACAAAACTGTTGACTCCCTACCCCTATCTGCTACCAAATTGACTTCTCCCTATCTCTACTGTTCAGCCAGTTGCTTAGGCTAAAAACCTAGAAGTCATCCTTGGGTTCCCTTCCTGCCTCTCTGTCTTTCTCCCAACATCCAATCCATAAACCAATCTTATCAGTTCTACCTTCAAAATACCCATCTGACTGCATTATTTCCTCTGTTGTCATCACTAATTGCCTATATTACTTCAATAGTCTCATGATTAATTTCCCATTTCCATTATCACCCCATTCCCTACTCCTTTCCCTATATTCCTTTTCTCAAAGCAGCCAGGTGGAACCAAGATGCAAATCCCTTGCTACAAAGCCCAGGCTGGCCTTGAGCTTCATCTCCTCCTGCCTCGGCCTTCCAAGAGCTGGGGTTATAGGTATGCAACATTAGGTCCAGCAAAGCCCAGCTTCTTAAGGACTATACCCTACTGCTTCTCTTTAAAACCAAGTGAGCAAAAGCACTAATTTTTTGGCATCGTATTTTAACAATTTTTTTCTCTTAACTTGGAATTGTCTAAATGGTCATGAGTCATCATCTTGATTCAGATATCCAATGCAATACAAAACAAAATGATCAAATATTTCAGAGTATTTTTTCTGATTCCTAGGCTCAAAAAATCAGTCATAAAAACTCTCTCAGAACCCAGAATATCTTAACACCAAACAAACACAACACTTATCCTATCCTGCAAACTGGCACTAGAATCAAGCAAGCCCTATCATTGACCCCCAGGCTGAACAGTATGTCCTTATTTTATACTCCTTAGTGTTTCCTTCCTTGTTATGTATTTACTTATTTGTATCCCCAGTTTTGTTTTGTTTTTTTGATGACAGAAACTGAACCTGATTCATATCCAGCTCTTTGCTCAGGCACTAGAAACTTTCTACTATAAATTTTAAAGTTTGAAAAAAATGAAAAAATTTTAGATAACTGAACCATGTCCAGAATTTTCTCACTGGTTTCTACTAGGGAAGCAGGTAGGGTGCCTGAGATACAAGCCAAGTTGGCAGCAGCTGCATTCTCAGTGCCATGATAACTGATACATAGACCTTTAGATAACTAAGAGAACAGGAATCCTGTAGTGTGGGAATAAACAAGGGATGGCAGAAGCAATCCAGCAAACAAAAACAACATTCTGAAAAGCCATATTCTAGCATGAGACCCTCTGGCCCAGGAAAACCCCTTAGGTCTTGTATTTCCACTTGGTATTAACAGATATGTTCTGCCTGTTAGGGCAGCCAGCAGAGCGTTATATGAAAGTGCAAAAAAAAAATAAAGAACAGCTTCCACCCTTATGATGCAGGGATATTAATGAAAATTAACAGAATGAGTACATCCCTCAAGGAGGGACTAAAGACTTTAGGGATAAAGGTCTCTAGCAATTTGGCTGAGAGAGTTATCTGTTAATTTGGAGGAGTCAGAGAAAGCATTCTGGAAAAGGGACTGGAGTCAGATTTTGAAGAATAGGTAGGAAGTTGGGATTGTGATGACATTTTATCCCAAACTTATCTCCTTGTGAGGTCAGAACTATGTCATTCTTCTTTGAATCTTTATCCTTCAGCACAAAGTCTAATAAATATTTAATAAAAATGACTGATAGAATTAATGAATATATTCATGACCGAATAGCCTTTAAGTGGAAGCCAATTTTGTCAACAATCTTTACCCATAAGGTGTTTATTTACCCAAACTTAAAATAGATTCTAGAGAATAGAACCTACATTCATCCTCTGTTTCTCCATCATTTTGCCTGAAATACAGAAAGCGAATCTAGAACCACGAAGCATCAGAGATGGAAGAGGCCTTAAAAGACTACATAGTCCAAGCTCTCATTTTTAGAGGCAGAAACAGCAGATGACCCATAATTAGTAAGATTCTAGGAGACACTGGAGCTTATTGGAAAAGAACAGGCTTTAGACAACTAAGCCAATTCTGAAATATTTAAAAAATTTTTTTTTAAAAAAAAACCTCTTTTTAAACATTTCCTCACATGCTATTATGAAAAAGCTTGGAAAACAAGCTTTTATTCCTTTGCTCTTAGTGCTTGAGCTTACAAAAAAGAAAAGCTATAATCTAACATTTAAAATTAAGACAACAAAGATTTATGAGTTACCTCCATTCAATAGCATTCTCCAGAGACTTGAAGGTTTTAGGTCGACCGCGTAAGAAATTCTGCATGCTATTAAGTGCATCCATAGCTGTACCTGGATAGTAAACAGAAGTTTTAACCACAGCACCTAACTTACTCTGAATGCTTACACTTACTGAGCAGTATGGTTTGGATATAAAGTATCCCTTTATTCCCCCACCCCATCCAAAAAAAAAAAAGATTCATGTTTTGAAAGCTTGGCCCCCAGCAGTGGTACTATTGAGGTGATTGGATCATGAGGGTGTTAACTCCATTAGAGGTTTAATCCACTGATGAGTTCAAGATGAATGAATTTTTAAGAGATGGGACTTAGTTGGAGGAAGCAGGTAGCTGGGGGAATGCCCCTGAAAGGGACATTTTCTCTCCTGTCCCTTCCTTTCTCTGCTTCTGTCACCATGACGTAAGCAGCTTTGCTCTATTCACTCTATCACATGATCTCTGCAATAATGTCCTGCCTCATCACAGCCTAAAAGCAACAGACCAGTCGACTACAGACTGAAATCTATGAACTGTGAGTCAAAATAAATCTTTCCGCCTTTAAATTGTTTATGTCAGGTATTTTGTCATAGTGACAAAAATGACTAACACTGAGTCAACTATATACATCTGCTTCCAATAACAGCAGAATTCAGTTATGCTTGGGTAAAAATATAGATGAAGTGTAAGAAAGACTAATGGAATAGCCAGCTTCCAATATGACCCTGAATATTTTGCTCACTGGTATTCACTCTCTGTACAGTTCCCACACACTAAATAGGGCCAACTTGTATAAGCAGCAGTGTGACATCACAGGCTGGGTCATAAAAGATGGCAGCTTCTTTTCAGATGGTTAAATAAAATTATGGGACACACATATGATCAAAATATATAGCCATAAAAAGATGTTAATGAAGAATTTCTGATGACATGGACAACCTGGTTAAAGATTTTAAAAAGTTACAAAGGTAAAGGGACATATTTCAAGATGAATGAAACTGGTAATAAATTAAATCAAGATAACAATCTACCATGGAGGTCTCCTATAAATCAATGATTCTAATTTGGTTAGTACTAAGAAAACCTACCTTCCACAACATCAATCATACACAGACCCAGGAGGCTTGGCACCAGGTTGGATGATGCTGTGTGCACTGCAATAGCACCACCCATGCTATGTCCAATCAGCATAATTGGAGGAGGGAGGTCCCCATACATGGCTTCGACCACATTTCCTACGTCTCTGCAAAGAAAACGGAAAAAAGTGGAAATGCTCTCAGACAATACTGTATAGTCTTCTTTCTTACTTCCTTCCTTTGCTCTGTAACTAATAGTCCTGGGAGATGGTAAAGGTCTATAGGACCACCTTACAACATACCTATGTAAACCTCCTAACATGGCCCCTACGATCACACAATTAGTGACTCACCTACCTCTTCTGATAAATGGCACATTAAGAACCAAGAACCTACAAGTTATGGAAACAGCCAAGATGCCCCAGCACTGACGAATGGATTAAGAAAATGTGGTATCTATACACAATGGAATTTTATGCAGCCATGAAGAAGAACGAAATGTTACCATTCGCTGGTAAATGGATGGAATTGGAGAACATCATTCTGAGTGAGGTTAGCCTGGCTCAAAAAACCAAAAATCGTATGTTCTCCCTCATATGTGGACATTAGATCAAGGGCAAACACAACAAGGGGATTGGACTATGAGCACATGATAAAAGCGAGAGCACACAAGGGAGGGATGAGGATAGGTAAGACACCTAAAAAACTAGCTAGCATTTGTTGCCCTTAACGCAGAGAAACTAAAGCAGATACCTTAAAGCAACTGAGGCCAATAGGAAAAGGGGAACAGGTACTAGAGAAAACGTTAGATCAAAAAGAATTAACCTAGAAAGTAACACCCACGCACAGGAAATCAATGTGAGTCAATGCCCTGTATAGCTATCCTTATCTCAACCAGCAAAAACTCTTGTTCCTTCCTATTATTGCTTATACTCTCTCTACAACAAAATTAGAAATAAGGGCAAAATAGTTTCTGCTGGGTATTGGGGGGGGGAGAGGGAGGGGCGGAGTGGGTGGTAAGGGAGGGGTGGGGGCAGTGGGGAGAAATGACCCAAGCCTTGTATGCACATATGAATAATAAAAGAAAAATGAAAAAAAAAATAAAAAAAAAAAAAAAAAAAAAAAGAACCAAGAACCTAAATTTTCTGATTTTCTTGTATATCACACTTTCACTACTCTACACATTTAGTACAATTAAATAAACATTTATCTTTATTTTGAACCTAAGCTTAAAGCTCTGGGCAAATCATTTAACTACCCTCTATGCCTCAGGTTTCTCATCTATAATGAAGCCAGGGTGTGTGGCTCAAGTGCTAAAGTACCTGCCTCACAAGTGTGAAGCCCTGAGTTCAAACTCCAATACCACGAAACTAAAAAAAAAAAAAAAAAAAATCACAAGATGAGCATTAGCCTCAGTTTATTTTTTTTATCATGCTATCTTTGGTTAGCTACTTAATCTCTCAGACACTGAGTTTCAAAATCTATAATATGAAAGTAAAACTCACTGATCTAGATTGCTTTGAGGATTCTGACTGTGAAGAAAATGCGAAACTACTCTAAAATAGTAAGGATATCCTTTGCAATTTCTCACATATACATGTTTGAAGAACAAACATTTGTAAATATAAGTATAGTTCTCTTAGAAACTAGAGAGATATTCAGAACTAATTTTTATTGGCTATTGCACTAGTCGTCAATTACAAGAGGGTCTGTTTTTTTGTTTTGTTTTGGTGGCTGGGGTTAAAGTCAGGGCTTAACACTTACTAAGCAGGCACTCTTACTACATAAGCCACTCTACCAGCACTTCTCTACCAGCACTTTGGATCTATTTTAATAGTCAAACTTTAAAACTTTGAAAATGAGAGCTGAAGTATGAATTTTGTTTTTTATTTGCATGTAGGCTTCCTTGCTATAGCATAGGTGGGGTAAGAACAAGTGGGTTTTCTAGAGACCACTGGCTCTACTGCCTTCTTCTGGGAGCAGATGAGTAAGTTAACTTCAAAAGATAGTTTTTGTCTTCCTGAGTGTCACTACATACTTCAAGCACTTATAGAGCTAACAAAATATGTCAGGTGTTAATGTGGGGACATGGATTTGTAAATATGGTCTTTATAGTATTCATAATGGCAAAGGCAAACGTAATGAATTCTTCAGGTGTTAATTTTAAAAACCTCATACAACAATTACAATAGGGCAGCTACAGCAGTTGTAGACAATCTGAATGGGTGATTTGGGGGCAAATTTTTAAAAAGGAAAAGTCTAGAACAAATATCAACATGTGATTTCCAGAATAATTCTCAAACAACTCTAAGAAACTTTTGGTTGGTAACAGATAAAATGAATAAAACAAAAAAAGATGCTCTGGAAGATAGCTAAATTTCACACCGTAAATTACACATTAATTGCCAGGTGTGGTAGTGCACTCCTGAAATCCTAGCACTTGGGAGGTGAAGGCAGGAGGATTGCACTTGGAGTTTATTTTTATTAAAGGAAGTGGCTCTCTCCCAGTCATGGGAGTGGTGCATCAGATTCCCTTACAAAGCTTGGACTTTCGATCTTATTTGTATCATTTCTTTATGATAAAGCTTGAACTGCTTTACTTTCTGTATTAGCCTTAAATTTAACTCCAAATGAATATTAAACTATTGTTTTCATTTATAAACTTTGGCTGCCTCCCTTCTCCCATTCATTCACTGCTAAAAGTACTAACTCAGCAGGTCTGGAGTAGGGTCAAAGATCTGCATATTTAGTAACTTCACAGGTGACTCTGATGAGTAGGGTTGGGAATTACTGTATATACTACAGTCATATACTTACTTTGAAGCCCAGGGTATAGTTACTCTTCAATACCCTGTTCTCACCTTTCTGTGACACTGGACAAAGAATGTAGGCAAGCTCTCAAGGCTGCTTGCACTCAACTGCTTTTAAAAGCAGTTTCATAGATATGCAGATTCTATATAACTTTTCCAATAGATAAAAATTTATCAAAAGCTCTGCAAAAACTAAGCTTCCACAAGTTAAATTTTTTATGTGATGACCATCATCACAATGGATATTCCAAGAGTGATGGCAGTTTCTTTCAAGATTAAATTAATAGTAAAGATAAACCAGAAGTAGAGGAGAGAGAACAGAAGTAAAATTTTCTGTGGTAATTATTGTTCAACAATCTCATTAGTAGAGTGATGAAGTTGTACTACTATTTGCAATAGTAATGACAGCTAGGCAAGCTATAAGCAATATTTGGTTCCTTACTTTGCCATTGTTTCTGCTGACAGGTCTTCAGAATTCTTGACTTTTGTTTCGCCTAAAAAAAGAGAATATTTTAAGAATATTTTGTAAAAAATCTCACCTTTGGATGATAAAATGGGGCTTAATAATTTTATATGATGGATTTAGTAAGGATTTTCCACATTACAAACCAATCTTTATGGCTAGCCATTCTAAAAAGGATAATTACAAGTAGCCTAGCTAGAAGATAGGACTCCCTCAAAAAAATTCCAAATGGAGAACAAATTCCAAATGGTTCACTAAAATTTACAGTATTTAGATTTATTCAAAGGGGCTTGGCAACTATATCACTGAGCACCAAGAAAAAAGGACTTTACTCACCATGGCCTCGCAGATCCAAAGCCACAATCCTGCACTGAACTCTACTAATGATGGCTGCCTAGGAGGAAAAGAAAAGAAGTAAGATACATATGGGACAGAAAATTTTGCCCAATTACTAATAATGACTTTGTTAAATGAGCTGCTATCAGAATTCAAGGAACTCAAGAGAACCAAAAGAAAACTTTCTCCTTTTAAGCAAAACAAAATAGCAATGATGACTAGAGCAGTGACTCAAGTGGTAGACTGCCTAGCAGGCATGAAGCCCTGAGTTTGAACCCCAGAATTACCACTACCCCCCCCCGCCAAAAAAATTTAGACTGGGTACTAGTGGCTCACGCCTGTAAACCTAGCTACTTGTGAGGCTGAGATCAGAAGACAGCCCAGACAAACAGTTCGTGAGACCAGATCTCTAAAATGGACTGGAAGTGTGGCTCAAGTGGTAGAGTGCCTACTTTGCAAGTGTGAAACCTTGAGTTCAAATCACAGTTCCACTAAAAGGGGGAAAAAAAATCCAAAAACAAAAACCATGATTCTCCACTGTTTTGGTACATGTTGTGGTTGGTCCCAATTTCAAAATAGGCTTTCTCCACCTTACACCCCCACCTCCCCTTAAACCTTAACACTTCCTAGCCTTTCCCAAAACATAGTATAAGCATCTTTAGGCAATGACCCTTGAGAGTTCTGCTATTGCTTATGATTTTTGTCCATATTTCTTGGCTATCTTCCTTACTCTGGGGAGTGAATCCCTTAGATAAGGATCATGAGTCAATTTATATTTTGGCCAGGACATTATACAAACATGATACTCAAATCATGAAAGAATTAATGAAATCAGTACAAGTCATGAAATCTACCAAAGACTCACCTAAAATAGATACAAGCAGTATGTACAAGCTTGTGTGTACACAATTAAATAAAAGTGTACTGAAAAAGAAATAATAATATGATGGAAAAGGTACAATTTTAGAGATTTAAAGAAATCTCTAAAGAAGAAACTGTATTCTCTGGCAATCACACATTACAATTAGTGTTAGTAAAGGTCACCAATATCTCTTAAGAATGAAACAGAAGAACTGTCTAGTCTAACCCTCGAATTTTATAAATGAGGAAACTGAGGCCAAGAAAAAGGAAATTATTTGTCCAGGGTCACATAAAACAAGTTAGTAATAAAAACAGAACTAGAATCAAGGCAAATTACCAATACAATAGTCATAAAACAAATCAGATTCCCAAATTACATTTAAAAATCACCTAGAAAATCAAATCTTTCTACTTCTATTATTCCAAATAATAAACAGCTTTAAAGGCAACTATGGACTAAAATTCTATTTTCTCTTGGAAGATATTTGTTAATTTATAGGAATTATTTCATGTACCATGGTAGTAGTAAAACCTTTTATGCCAAAAACAAACCCATATTTTAGACATAAAGTTAAGGAGCAAAACTGTGTCAAATTGTTTAATTAATATTTTTAAAAAGTTAGAACTAAGTTTATAAAACAAAACATGTATTTGAGGTAATTATCAATACCAACATTTAGCTTGAAAGCAATGATCTATAATCATATGTGCCTATCAGAGAACACTGATGAGAATACTGAAAACAAATTTTTCATTCATTTGCTTAAATAAACCTTTCTAAATTTCATCTAAAAATCTGGTACCAATTGAGTAATGGGGTTACAGTAGTGAAAAAGATAGGCCTGCTGTTATGCTTACATCCTAGTATGGAAGAGGAAGAAGAGAAAAGAATAACTGAGCAAAGTAAATTCACAGAATAACACATGCTTATAGATAATGAAAAAGTGGTAGTGCATGTCCATGGCAGTTACTTCGAATCTTACTTCAAACAGTACAACTTTGCTACTTACAGAGTAAGTGAAAAAGTAGCAATTTAAGATCTACATTGATCTAACCAATTTTTTTTTGCTAGAATTTGTGGTGTCAGCAATAATAGCAGCAATAGTAGTAACAGTTAATATTTTCTAAATCTTACTACGTGTGAGGTACCAACCTAAGGGCTTCAAATAAATTATCTGACTTTCTCTCCACATCTCTTTTACTATTTAGACATAATTTTCATCATTTTACAGGGGAGGGCATTATACAGAGAAATTAAGTAATCTGGCCAAGATCAAAGAGTTAATAAATGGCAGGCCAAGACTGAAATATAAGCAGCGTGGCTCCAGGTGGTTCTCAACCCTGGCTGCCTAACAGAATCACCTGACATTTTAGGAAATGTCCAGGCATGAACCCACCAGAAATTCTGATTCAAGTGAACTGGGAGAGGGGCCAAGATTATCTACACATTTTGGAGTTCCCCAAGTCTATACTATTCTATGAAATAGACAATTAGAGGTAAGATTGGAAAAAAGATCTGCATAGTCAGTCATGGTGGCAAATACCTACAACCTCAGCACTTAGAAGGCTGAGTTAGGAGGATCAAGAGGTCAAGGCCAGTCTGAGACCCTGTCTCAAAACAAACAAATCACTTAAATAACATGCTTCTGGAACACTTTGAAATCTTACCAAGTTTTCTCAGATAATCTCAAATTATCTCCCTGAGAAGTAGGCTAGGAAGATGGCACAATTTTTGTAGCTGACAAAACTGGTTCAGATGGGCATATCAAGTATTGATGAAGATGTAGAGAAATAAGTATCCTCACAAACATATATATTCTCAAACTTAATTTTGACTGACTTGATAAATGAAAAGGATATTCTTTCATGCTTCCTTATCTGTGAATTGATACTTCATTTTCTTACCTATTTTTCTACCAGACTGCCTTTTTTCTTTGTAGGTTTTTCCCTGTGTTTTTTTTAAACTAATGAAAATATAAACCTGTTATTTATACTGCATATATTTCAAATTTTTTTTTTAATCTAGAACACAGCTTGGTTTTTTTTGGGGGGTGTTTTTTTTGGGTGGTATTAGGATGGGAACTTAGGGTCTAATGTTTGCTAGGCCAGGTGCTCTTCCACTTAACTATTTGCCTGGACTGGCTTTGAACCACAAACCTCCTGATTTCTGCCTCCTGAGTCACTAGGATTACAAATGTGAGTCACCAGTGCCTGGCACAGCTTGTGTTTTTTTTTTTTAAATTCATTTATTTGCATGTGCATACATTATTTGGGTCATTTCTCCTCCTTGCCCACCCCCACCTCCACCCTCCCCCCCTCCGCCCTTGCTTCCAGGCAGAACCTGTTCTGTGCTTTTCTCCAGTTCCACTGAAGAGTAGAAATAAACAATAATAAGAAAGACATAGCATTTTTGCTAGTTGAGACGAGGACAGCTATACAGGGAGATTCCCAGCATTGCTTTCATGTACAAATATGTTACAACCCAGGTTGATTCATCTCTAACTAATCTTTACATTGTTTCCTGATCCCCTTCTTGTGTTGGCCTCTGTTGCTTTAAGGTTTCTATATTAATTCCTCTGAAGTGGGGACATCAAATGCTTTCATGTTTTGGGTTTTCTATCTAACACTGTACCTCCCATATATGTTCTCCTCTTGTCATGTAACCCTGCATTTGCCCTAGATCTAAAGAGGGCAAACATATGAGGGCGAACATATGATTTTTGGTTCTCTGAGTCTGACTAACCTCACTCAGAATGATGTTCTCCAGTTCCATCCATTCACTTGGAAATGATAAGATTTCACTTTTCCTCATGGCTGAGTAAAATTCCTTTGTGTATAAATACATTTTCTTGATCCATTCGTCAGTAGTGGGGCATCTTGGTTGTTTCCATAACTTGGCTATTGTGAATAGCGCTGCAATAAACATGGGTGTGCAGGTGCCTTTGGAGTAACCTCTGTCGCACTCCTTTGGGTATATCCCCAGGAGTGGGATTGCTGGATCATATGGCAGATCTATGTTTGTGGTACTAGGGCTTGAATTCAGGGCCTACACCTTGAGCCACTCCACCAGCCCTATCTGTGCTAGGTATTTTCGGGAATAGGGTCTTGCAACTATTTGGGCTGGCTTCAAACCATGATCCTCCTGATCTCTGCCTCCTGAGTAGCTAGGATTACAGGCATGAACCACCGGTGCCCAGCACAGCTTGTGTTTTAATAAAAGTTTTTGGTTTGGGCAAAGTCAAATTAATCAACCAATTCTTTATCTTCTTTATCTCCTTCCTTCCTTCTCTCCCTCTCTCCCTTCCTTCCTTCTCAACCAGTAAGATGCGCATGGTGGCCCAAGCTTATCTTCCCAGCTATGTGAAAGATGTAAATAAGATTGTGGTCCAGGCCAGCCCACACCAAGACACAAGACCCTAATCTTAAAAATAAAGCAAATAGGGAGAAGGAGCATGCCTCAAGTGGTAGACTGCTTGTCTAGTACCACCAAAAAAATAATGTGTATTTCTATCTGTATATCAGCCCTCTTATGCTTTGGATTGTTATTTTCAACATATATAAAGTTCCTTTTTACATGTGGGCTTAATGTTTTTCTTCTAATACCTTATTAAAAACTAAAGAGTTTTAGAAAATGTTTTGGTATGTGAGAGAGGCAAGACACGTCATTTGCTCTCTTTCAAAATTATCTTGGTTGTCAGTAGGTATTTATTATTCTGTGTGAATTTCAGTTTGTTGATTAAGTCTCATAAAAATCACAACTGGGATCGTAACCAGGTTAGACAAATTCACACAGGAACATGATTTATTTCTCTATTTAGATTTTCCTTTAAATCCTGTCAAGTTTTATTGTTTTCTTCATGAATGTCTTATACTTTGTAAACATTAGCTTTATATTTTTATTTTTATGAATAGCACTTTTTTCATATTATACTTCCAAATTTAGTAAGTGCTAATATTTAGAAAAAAATAGATTTATAAATACTGAGATTATAAAATATGGCTTAAACTACTGTTTACTATGAGATGATTTCCTCTGATTTTCTAGTGAGACAATATCTATAAATAATGACTTCTAGTTCTTTTCAAATCTTTAAACCTCATTTTTCTTTCTTGTTATCTGGCTAGAACTTCCAATATAACATTGAAAACAGCACATTTCTCTTATTACTGACTTTAAAAAGAGCATATCTAATGTCTCACTACTAAGTATTATGTTCAAGAAATTTCCTAATATATAAACTGTAAAAAGTTCAGAAAGATTTTCATCTATACCTAGATGCCAACAGTTCTCAACATAGGTGGACGTTACAGTTGATCAAGTCCTTTTCGGTACATCAACTGAGATGAAAGACTAATTACACAGAGAGATGTTCTAATGCTGAGCACCATTCTTGCATTCCTGAAATAAAACGTACTTGATACCAGTGTATTATTTTTCATCTATCCTACTGAACTCAATCTTCTACTATTTTATTTTATTATTTCACAGTTTTCTTTTTTATTAGCATATATTAATTGTACAAAGGGATTTCACTGTGGTATTTCCATATATTACTTTCTTATCTCCCACCCTCATTCTTCTATTTTATTCAGGATTCTGCAAGCACCTACTTTATTAGTGAGATTGGTTTAGTTTTCCTACATTGTCATTTCCTGATTTGGCTATTAGAATGATGCTACTTTCAAATATAGGTAAATAGCTTAAAACAGTGCTATCCTAAGTAGTATTTATATGGTGGAGAATTTTAATAATCTTCATTCTGAGAGAAATTAACTCTGTAACATATTAAATATTTAGAATTCAGTAATACAAGGACAGCCTTCCAGATTCCCCTCCTCTATTTGTGTCTCCTATCATCTATGCTATTATTATTTCTAAAGGTCTTCAATATGTTCCCATTGCTCAAAACAGTTGAACTCAGTTACAATTAGGTAGAAGTGTATCAAAATGATCAACTCCCCAGAAAACTGAAATCTGGATGTGTTTTAAGCAAAACATGCTTCCTATACCCCTTCCCTAATGTTGATATACCTAAAATATGCTTACTGTTGATGTGGGTGGGGCAGTGTTGTGCTGTGTTTGAAAATAGCTCTCTCTACTATTACCCTGAACTAAAGGGTAACTAAAGATACAATAACCTAGCTAGGTAAACCAGGCATTCCCACAATTTTGTCCCCATGATCTCAAGTCATCTCTTTCCCTAGTCCCTACCCACATACTTTATATCCAAATTGCAAACAATTCCATTATACTTCACGGATACACCTTCAGTACCATTGGGTTTACCTATCCTTGGAATGCCTTCCCTACTAATCCAAGTTTTCAGAATATATATAATAATATACTTTGATCAAATTTACTCCCTCTATTACTCTTTCTTATCTCCTAGCTTTCCACTTTCCTAAAGAGAATATAGTGAACAAAACTGAACTGTTCAGGTATAGCATTGACTTATTCAAGGAGTAATTATTGAGACCAAGTCCATAGTTGGCCTTGTATGGTAGACATATAAGAATGAATAAGGCATAGCCTCAGCTCTCAAGGCTCTCATGATCTAGCATCATAAATATCAATTATCTTCTGGTTCAGTATATTTGTCCACCTTCTGTGCTAGCACATTTTGGCTTCTGCCTTATTTTACCAATTATTATCTAAGGGAAATTCTCTCTCACATGACAATAAGGTGCTTGAGTTTATTCCTGCTGTCTGCTATAGCTGCTATTCACCTTGACTACTTTCTAAATCCACAGATAAATTCAAAGGTTTGAGAATTCTGACTTTTGGAGTCAAAAGTCAATTACCGGAGCACTAACTTTTATATAGCATTTTTACTTGGTTTTACAAGTAGGCCAGGTAAGTAGCTGAAACAAAGTGACTTATCTATAGTAATATGTGCCAGACATAAATAAGCTATGGTCCCTGCCTCCTAAAAAGTGAGGTGTGCTCTATAAAATACACACTGGATTTCAAAGACTTTCAAAGTATAAAAGGAGCGTAACATATGTTCCTATGGTTTGGATATAATTTGAATGTCCTCCAGGGATTCATGTGTTGAAATAGAATCCCCATAGTGAAGTATTAAGAGGGTAAAAACTTAATCTGATTATGGCATTTAGAGGTGAGTCCTTTGAAAAATAATTAGGATTAGATAAAATCAGGGATAGAGCCCCGACTGAATCCTGGTAGCTTGACTGACTGGTCAATTTAGAGGGAACAGGTTCTTGACATGTAGATTGGGCTGGCCTGCTGCTTCAGGCTCCCATGTGTTGGGGTTTTATGCATGTATCACTATTCTCAGCATTTCTGGTAGCTTTGTAAGAGGGACGCATATTCCCTGTCTCATAGCATGTGCTGCCTTGCTCTGTAAGCAAGGCCATCAATAGACATGACTCTTCTATCCTTCATCTCCAGAACTGTGAGCCAAAATAAACTTCTATACCACCAAGTCTGTGATATTGTGTACTGGCAATAAAAAATTAGCTAATGCAAATGTTGATAATAATTTTTAAACCAATTGCCTGTTGAAATTATTTTAGGTACAATGGGTCAAATAACATATATAGTATTAAAATTAACTTCACCTTTTTAAAAACTATATAATGCGCCTAGTAGGAAATTTAAAATTACACAAGTGGTTTGCATTCTATTTCTACTGGTCTAGAGACATGGCACTTACGGACAAATCATATAGCTTATCCTATAGAATGAGAGAAAATAGTAAACAAGAACTTCTTTTCAGTATTGAGGGCTGAATCCAGGGTCATATTGTTTAACTGTTGAATAAGTACCTATGTATCAAGAACTACCATAGGCATTTGGAAAATAAAACAGCATAAGATAATTATTCATGTTCTCAAGGCATGTACGGTCTAATAGAAGCAACGAGAAGGTGCTTTTTTACTTAATTCCAGTAATTCCTGCTGTTGGGAACAAAGTAATTATGTTCTGGGCCTTCCTTAATTTCAGTCATTTGGATCCAGGTATCTAGTGCTGCATTCCCACTTGTTCCCATTTCTGTCCTTCAGGCTCCCTAGTGGTAAACAGAGGAAGTATGTGTATTTGGGTGACACATACAATTTAGACATAGGTGTTGCTAGTATCTTCCTTAGAAGTATCTCTCCTTGCACATGGGCTGCCTCATTACAGAGTCAAGGATAAAAGCAAGATCTACAATTGACAGTATTCACAGACACATATCCTCTATTCTAGACCAAACTATCACCAATCAAGTATTATTTACTTCCCAGTAGCTCACAGACAACAAACAAACAAATTAAAATCATCACTTTAAAAAAGAAGGAACTTTTCCAAATATTTATCAGACATTTCCAAATGCAAAGTACCACACAGACTCTGAAGGAAACAAATGAATTGAAAGGCATTATCTAAAGCAACTGAATAAAATGCCTACTTATCTTATAAATTATTGTGATACAGATCCCCACTTTTGACAAGGCACAAAATTAATTCCACTCATCCTGATATGCATATATATAAAATTTTAAAAACTGTCTGAGGGCACTAAGGCCCATCCCTGTCAAGAACCTCTGGTTTAAAGGACAAGAAATATTGAGCAAACTATGATTAACACTGGGAATCCACTCCATCCATAACCTTCTTACATCAAGCAAAATGAATGAACATGGAAATTATCCAGGAGAAAACAATGATTACACTAGTATCAGCTCTACTATCAACAACTTACCGTGAACACAGCCCAAGAAAGGGCAGAATGGCCTCCTCCATGCAGTAAGAGCAGGACTGGACCTTCAGAACCACTCTTGTAAACTCGAAAAGTGTATGAATAGTTAAAGATAACATATTTAAATTTTTTCTTAGTGAAGTTTTTTTGCCTGTTTAGTCACAATAATACTGACTAAAAAATCCAGGCAGCAATAAGCCACATGCAAAACCACACACTTTCAAACTTAAAAGAAACTTAAATAGAAGATTCTGAGACAGTAACCCCTTTGGAAATCTGAGGCCAGTATGACCATGTTTTTCAGTGAAAATAATTATTCCCTTTTCCCTAAAGAGGACACATCCCTGGTTCCTGGAAATGAGATCAGTTCAATTCACTTGATTAACTCATGAAACTTTTCCCTGGCCCCCAAAAGATGTATCAGTTTCAGGAATTTAATTCCTAATCCTTTCCCTATGCATTAGATAATTATAACCAAGAAAGATACTAGCATGGACATAAAGAACATTTCATGCTGTACAAAGAACAGGTGGGAAAAGAACATTTTAGAAACTATACAAGTCTTCTGAGACATCATAATCTTACTAGTGAGTAAACCACTTTGCAGAGGATATATCCTTGCCAGTTTCATTCTCTACTTCCACATCTTCCATGGATTCAAAGTATTGACTCCAAGAAACAGGGGAAAAGTCCCGCTTTCTTCCAGGGCTAAGGAAAAAAAAAGAAAGAAAGACATTTCAAGTAAAAAATAGTTATGCATGAGAAGATAAAAAACTTGAACAAATGCAAAATGTGAACCAAAATGGAAATAGCAAGAATATTTTTCTTAAAAGGCAGAAGGAGGGCCAGGTATGGTGGCTCAAGCCTGTAATCCTAGCTAAGCAGGAGGCAAATACAGGGAGGATTACGGTTCAAGGCCAGCCTTGGGAAAAGCCCAAGAGACCCCTCCCCCATCTCAACCCAAGGTGAGTGGTAGTTCATGCCTGTCATCCCAGCTAACTCAGGAGACCCAAATAATAGGAGCAGCCCAGGCTGGCCCAGGTATAAAGCAAGATCCTATTTCAAAAATAACCAATGCAAAAAAGGCTGGTGATGTCATTCAAGTGGTAGAGCACATACTTAGCAAGTGTCAACCCTAAGTTAAACCCCCAGTACTACCAAAAAAAAGAGAGCTCATTACAAAGCATCATATTAAATGTGTTTAAATAAGTTCAAATAGAGATTTAAGAGTAAAGTTAAATATACTCATTCCAAAACTAGACAAAGACACAACAAAAGAGAAATAAACCAATCTCTTTAATGAACACAGATATATAAAAGCTCAAGAAAATACTTGCAAATCAGACTCAACAACACATTAAAAAGATCATATACCATGATCAAGTTGGTTTCATTCTAGGGATGCAAGGATGGTTCAACACATATAAATAAATAATAGTAAATACGTAGGGAAAAACTGACATAATTTCCTGTAAAATCAGGAATGAGACAAAGGTATCCACTCTCTTCACTCTTATTTAATATAGTACTGGGACTCCTAGCCAGAGCAAAAAGGCAAGAGAAAGAAATAAAAGTGATTAAATAAGGAAGGAAGAAGTCAAATTATCCCAATTTGCAAATGATATGATTCTATCCTTCAAGACTCCACAAAAAAACCACTAGATCTGATAAACTTTCAGCACCATACAAAAAAAAAACCTCAGTAGCTTTTCTATGGACCAAAACAGGCTGAGTAAGAAAATAGGCAAAAAAAATTCTATTCACAATAGCTTTAAAAAAAAATCCTTAAAAACAAAAGTCAAAACCTAGCAATACACTTAAATAAGGAAGTGAAAGACCTCTACAACGAAAACTAAAAAACCTTAAAGAAAAAAATTGAAGAAGACAGCAGAAGATGGAATGACTTCCCATGTTCACTGATGGGCAGAATTAATATCTTGAAAATGGCTATATTACTAAAAGCAATTTATGGATTCAATGCAATGCCCATCAAAATTCCAATGTCATTCTTTGCAGAAACAGAAAAAACAATCCTAAAATTCATACGGAAGCACACAAGACCCTGAATAGCAAAAGTAATCTTGAGAAAAATAGCAATGCTAGAGGTATCACAATAATGGACTTCAAATACTGAAGAGCCATAGTAACAAAAAAGCATGGTACAAGCACAAAAAGACATGAAGACTAATGGAAAAAAGACCCAGAAATAAAATTACACAGCTACAGCCATCTGATCTTTGACAAAGGATCCAAAAATATACACTGAAGACAAATATTAGACACTAAATAGGAAGCAAGACTCATACATTATCTTTGTATTCTAGTTAGAACAAAATATCCTACATTTTAGAGATGTGATTTTGGTTCTGTTAAAAAGTAATTCTAGAGTCTTATTTTTTGTTCAGCTACTTTATGGTCATAGGCTGTTCAGGCCTTTTTTAGTTACAATTTTTAGAATGAATTACTAACTTTTTTCAATGAGGTCATAATAAAAGAATTTTGGATAAAATAATTCCAAAAGCATAATAAAGTTAAATTATACTTTAAAATAAAAATTTATTCATTCAATAGATATTTACCAAGAATCTATAATAAGTATGTGGCTGGATCTGAGGTGGGGTGATAGCTATAAAACTAGAGATAATGCCTCTGTCCTCAAGGAGCTAAAAGCAAGTACATAAACATTTAACACAATGTACAAAGAGTGAAATACCCTAAGAATGCACAGCTAAAGTGTGGCAGATGTTCAAAGAAGGCAAGAAAGATCACTTCTAGGTTAGGGAACAAAGAGATTTCAAAGGAAAAAATAAAGTAGGCATTGAAGAACAGACAAAATTCAGACTGATGGAAATAGGGAAGGGTAAGGATGGCATTGCAGGCAAACCAAAGAACAGAAAAAAGAACCTATTATAGGGCCTGTTGTAGAGGACATTGAAAATATGTAAAATAGCTAACTAAAAATAAATGGGAATAAGCACTAAAGTTTTGAAAAGCTACAAGAAGCTGACATAACTAAAAGCACAAAGTGGAGAAAGAATATTATGTTAACTCTAATAAAGTAGGGAATATATGTTCACTGTGTGTTATGTGAGAGAGAGGAGAGAGAGGAAAAGGGAGGGAGGAAAGGCGGAGGGGAAAGAGTGAAGTTAAGAGAGAGAGAGATACTCAGAGAGAAAGAGTGTGAGAGAGAGAGAGATCGATTGAGATTTTTTTTTTGGTAAGGGCCTAAAAGTCAGAGTGTTTGAATGGAATTGTAGAAAGTGAGGAGTCCATAAAATGTACAGACTGAAGTATTTTAAAAACCTTTGTAAATGCCAGTGTACCCCTACCCAGCAGTAAAATAAAATAATCAGGCTTCGGTGTCTCATACCTGTAGTCCTAGCAACTCAGGAGGTAGAGATCAGGAGGATTGTGGTTTGAAGCCAGCCCCAGGCAAATAGTTCTCAAGACCCTACTTTTTTTTTGTTTTATTATTCATATGTGCATACAAGGCTTGGGTCATTTCTCCCCCCTGCCCCACCCCCTCTCTTACCACCCACTCCACCCCCTCCCTCTCCCCCCCCCTCAATACCCAGCAGAAACTATTTTGCCCTTTTCTCTAATTTTGTTGAAGAGAGAGTATAAGCAATAATAGGAAGGAACGTGTTTTTGCTGGTTGAGATAAGGATAGCTATACAGGGAGTTGACTCACATTAATCTCCTGTGCGTGTGTGTTACCTTCTAGGTTAATTTTTTGATCTAACCTTTTCTCTAGTTCCTGGTCCCCTTTTCCTATTGGCCTCAGTTGCTTTTAAGGTATCTGCTTTAGTTTCTCTGCGTTGAGGGCAACAAATGCTAGCTAGTTTTTTAGGTGTCTTACCTATCCTCACCCCTCCGTTGTGTGCTCTCGCTTTATCATGTGCTCAAAGTCCAATCCCCTTGTTGTGTTTGCCCTTGATCTAATGTCTGCATATGAGGGAGAACATACGATTTTTGGTCTTTTGGGCCAGGCTAACCTCACTCAGAATGATGTTCTCCAATTCCATCCATTTACCGGCAAATGATAACATTTTGTTCTTCTTCATGGCTGCATAAAATTCCATTGTGTATAGATACCATATTTTCTTAATTCATTCATCAGTGGTGGGGCATCTTGGCTGTTTCCATAATTTGGCTATCACAAAGAAGGGCTGGCAGAATGGCTCAAGCAGTAAGAGCACCTGCCTAGAAAGCATTAGGGCCCTGAATTCAAACCCCAGTGCTCGCAAAAAAAAAAAAAAAACAAAAAACACCAAAGGTCAGGAAATGTTTAATATATGGAGAATGACTGCCAGAATCAATGACAACTCCAAAGTTAAATAAGCCCTACTATTTGTAAATAAAAAATACTCTTTGGTAGGTAAATATATACAAATTTGTTTTACATTTGAATAAAATTTATTTCAAACCTAACAAAATAAATATAAATTTCTCCCACCTCCTGCTCTCAAAGGAAGGACTTTGGCAGAGAGAACAAAGTGGTCCTATGACAAACCAAATCTGGTTTCTGCGTAAATCATGTGAATCAAATATGTTTATGAACTCTTTGTTGTAATCACAGACCATATTCAGAATGTGATGAGAGCTATGAACTCTCAATCTGGGGGAAAAAAATGCATGCATATATATTCTGCCTACAATTCCACTGGCTTCAAGAAAACCATCTACAAATACCAAATTAACAGCTCATAGCCTGAACTTTGACCTCAACAACCTACTTCCAATAGAAAAAAAAAATGAGATTCTGTAGTTTTAAAAGTTCCTAAATGAAAACCCTAAACCTAAAATCATTTTTCATTTGCTACCAACTAAAGGTTTGTTTTTATAACCCAGTTCTGCCTTTAATAACTGTGTGACCCTAGGCAAGTCAGTTTCTCTAAGCTTAGTTTCTTCATGTCAGGTGAGGTTATATTATCAATTTTATAGGGGTTGTTATGAGGATTAAGATAGCTCTCTCATCACTTACTCTCAAATTAGCTTGTTCTATTTTTTAAATCATAGAGCTATTATTTCAATATTTGTTATGATCTTTAAATTATTCCACCTAATTTGGCACTAATGCAAGATCCATAAGAACAAGAACATTCCCTATTTTTTCACAAATGTATTTGCAGAGTCTGAAACATAATTAATATCTCTTAATAGTATGAAATGAGCTAATGTACATAAAGCATTTACCTTACTGTCTCAGACAATATTTATTATTAGGTGGCTTTGAAGCTAATAAATATAATTCCCCTTACATATACCTAATAAAGTTTCCAGTAAAAGAAAATGGGACATGACAAAACTACACTAATAAAGACTATGGGACCAGGTATAAGGATAAACATAGAGCAGTCAAATAGACTCTAGAGTCCTGAAATAAACTGTAACATTTATTATAGTCAACTGATTCTTGAAAAAGGGAGAAAATAATTGAATGGGGGAAAGAATAGTCTTTCCAATAAATGATGTTGGGACAAGTGAATATCCCTATGTGTGAGTATGAAACTGAACCTCTTCCTCATACCACATACATAATTAAAACAAACTGAATCATAAAACTATAAAACTCTCAGAAGGAAACTCAGCAGTAAAATTTCATGATCTTGGGTTAGGTAACAATTTTTTTTTCTCTTTTGCCGTACTGGGGTTTGAACTCAGGGCCTACACCTTGAGCCACTCCACTAGCCCTTTTTGTGTTAGGT